CATTTTAGAATCTGTTTTTCGCAGGAGCTATTACATTATCCGTACTCTGCTTTGCATAATAAGTCAGAAAGCTGTGCCTTGGGTCGGATATGGCTGGCTGATTGCGTCTAGTAAGCCATTAATTGATATCCCCGCCTCCATCGTGTTTTTTGATAATGCATTTCTGTTTATAATTCCGGCCTTAAAATATTGAAATGTCGGCTTGAAATATTAATGTACTCGCAAATATTCGGAATAGTTCCACTCTCTGACTTCTGTTCATTTTTCTATTAAGTCCCGTCTGCCGTGTGGAATCAAGAACATTCGATGGCACCTGAAGAACGTGGACAACGTGCCACTCAAGGTCTCCCTTTTTACCGAGTGTACTCCGCCAGGTATATTTTTCGCGATTTTTTTAATATTCACTTTTATGCTATTTTTTACAACATGTTCAACCTCTAACCCCCGTATACTTCAATACGCACCTCCTACTATAAGTGGAAGGCTTCAATAGGACGGGTAATTAGCGGCTCTGCCCCCAACTCCACGTCGTAGCGGACTTTACCGCTCTCATTTCCTGGGACGTTACAATACGGACAATTTTATCTGCACACAGAAGTGCAAACGTTATTTCAATAGTACCGCATATACACAGATATCCATTGTTTCCATCGGTAATACCGTTCGGTTCCACGTTTTATGGGGATTTAATACAAACGGTCTCATTATTTCTTGTATTTGGCAACGCCTGAACATTTCAATCGCAAGATAAGTAGCTAGAACTCATTTGCGCCCTACCTTGAACGATGCCTGCTTGGGAGATCAGCCTGTCCTTAGAATACCATTTCGCAGCAATTTATGCCTGCATATTTTTGTTCGAACAGTCTGCAGTCATTTTACGCACACAAGAGGGTATACGCATTTAAACAATCCGGTTAAAACGGCCTTTGCACATCGACGAGGACGTGTTTATTTGGCATAATCAGCGCTGCTAATCAAGGACAGCTGATTCCCAGCACTAGAGAGACCATTCCACAAAAAGTTGTTCATCTAGATTGTTTACGTGTACATCCGCCTAGTTTTAGTCCGGCTGTTTTGCGACCTGAAGTAGTAGCCTTACTGTTTGCTGGCGTTCAACTGTGGTCATAATCCAGAGCATTTGATTCACTAAAGACACAGTTTCTTTCGCCCGCCCTTGCCTGCCCTTTTTATTTCGAAAAGAAACCGGCTGATGAATTTACTTACAGTAGATGATCTGACTCATGAAAAATGCTGACATCTACGAAATATTAATAAGCAGTCGCAAACGAACACTAACATAAGCTTTGGAATCATAGTGAACTGTCGTAGGCGAATTTAAAACTTAAGTTAACCATGAAGAGTACTACTACTTTATTTAAAAATTCTAACATTAAACAAATCGGCAAATACTAAAGACGGAAAAAAATCGCTGTAAATGTGACCAATAAATATAAATTGAATAGTCGGGTGAAATCGTAAGCATAATATTTTGTGAATATCAAAAGTACTTTCCTTTCATCAGCTTGCGGTATAGATACTTCTGGTATTGAATTACGATCAATTTGAGGTCGTACTTGGAATTCCGACCAATATTTCACGCTTTTTAGTGTTTTCGAGTTTTTTTTCCGTAAACATAGATTCTGTTCTGTGTTATCAAAACCTTCAAAAGAAGGTGTTTCTCAAAAGCATTTATCGAGAAAGCGAGCTTTTGGATATTTTTTAATGGGTCATATTTGTAGACGCACCCAAGCCTGAAAACTGCACGTCTACAATAAAAGTCGGATATTACTATGCAGGAGATCAACTTAAAAAAAATTATCTTTAATATCCTACCTCGTTAATAATCGCTTTAATTCGATATTCAAATACCTGCGTAATTTATGTGGAGAAATTTGACCGTTTTTTGCTTCTTGTGTACGTCAGTGACCGCCAAAGATGAAAGAACTCACTTTTCTCTTTATATTGGAACGTTTTCGCTCTATTTAATTACTTTAAAGCCATGTTCTAAGATGGTTAATGCACAAAAGTGGTCGAATATACAATAAGATGTTACAAAACTGTTAATTT